TCTCCACCCCCCTTGCCTCTAGTTATCAGCAGCTTTCACCGCAGTGGAAATTTCCACTGTCTGCCTTTTGTGAGCAGGAGTGTTATAACTTACCCTCTTTGGGAGAATGGAATCCGTTTCTTCTTTAAAGCAGCCCTGACATTCTCATTTAGAGGTGTAATGAGAACATTTAGGAAAGGGTTGTGCTGGGAGCATAGAAGGATTATTTCCAAAGGATGCAGACATGAGGGGATCAGAGCATAGTGATTTTACACCCTCTTGTTTGTCAGGATTAGGTGAATTTATCAAAACTCCCCAGGAATAATACATTTGGGCCTTTGCAAATCCTCTGGAATTCCACTCTTGCTCAGTTTTGTAATAAAGCGTCATTAAGACTGAATGTTACAAATCCCAAGGCCATGGAGAAGATCCCCTTTATCCAGTAAGACAAGAGTTCCTCAATTTGCATCGTATGATGTAGATAGTACTCCTATAGCTAAATAGAAAGATGTTTTTTAGAGTCTTCCAGTCATCATAAAGAATATAACTGATCTGTACTTTCCAGATCAGTGTGATACATCACTTATATCTAAATCTATTCCATATTCCCCTCTCTCTTCTGTTGGTATATTAATTTACCTATGATATACATGAGGTCAACATGATGTTCATTTGAAAATACTCCCCCAAGACTTTGGAGACACAAGGGTGTTTTCATTTCGTTCTGTATTAAGAAATATTAATGGAGCCCCCAGTTGCATAATGGGTCAAACCCTTGTGTCGGCAGGAGTGAAGACCGACAGATCAGAGATTCGAATCCGAGAAGAGCATGGATGAGCTCCCTCTGTCAGCTCCAGCTCCGCATGTGGAGACATGAGAGAAGCCTCCTACAAGGATGATAAAACATCAAAGCATCTGGGCGTCCTCTGGGCAACGTCCTTGCAGACAGTCAATTCTCTCCCACCAGTTTCTCAAGTCTCTCCTGACACAATAATAATAATTAAGAAATATGAAATATTAATTAGCCTTATTGTACACATGTCTGTATGTGAGTAAAGCTAATGTGGTGTAGTGAATTGAGTGTTGTATTTTGGGCTCTGGGAGGCCAGGGTTTTGAATGCCTACTTAGCCATTGAAATCCATTTTGTGACCTGGAATGATACTCTTTTCAGCTTCAGAGAAAAACAGTGGCAAACTTCCTCTGAATAAACCTTGTGTAGAAAACCCTAAGGTCCAATTGAAGCCATATAACAACAACATGCTTGTATATGTCACGAAAAATAAATGTTTGTTTCTGGGATTTGTTGGCACATAGCTGGGATGATTTTTTTTTCTGGTGAGGATTTGCAGAGCCTTCTTCCCTGCGCTCTGTAAAGGCAGGGAGGCACACATTTGGATGCAAAGGCTTTATAAAATACACATCCAAGTTGCCTGGAGGGGATCGGGTGTGCACATCACTTCGAACAGCGTCTCAAACTGACAGGATGCAGGCCATTTTTAATTAATTTCAGCATGAGCTGTAATGGATGCTGCAAGATGCTTTCATTGTTGGCTTCACGTTTTGAACAGGTGGGCCGTCTCTAGAACTACTCTCTGTGGTGGATTGGTTTGATTTTAATCACAAATTTATGTCCAGTTTTCTGGGATAACTACAAACCCTGCAGTCTGACCCCTCAAATGCTCTCTAAAGAAATAAGAAGTGTGCTTAAACCACACAGGTTTGGTTGTATCAATAGTACTTCCTCTGTACAGGTTCTCAGATGCACATTTGTGAAGCATGTTTCCAAAAGGTATCAAATCCATTTGAACAAATTGTTTTTTTGTTGGTATTGTTGAAGTCTTTCATGGCCGGAATCACTGCATTGTTGTGAGTTTTCCGGGCTGTATGGCCATGTTCCAGAAGCATTCTCTCCTGACATTTCGCCTGCATCTATGGCAGGCATTCTCAGAGGTTGTGAGGTCTTTTGTTGTTTATTTGTTCAGTCGCTTCCGACTCTTCGTGACCTCATGGACCAGCCCATGCCAGAGCAGCCAACCGTCGCCACTCCCAGCTCCATCAAGGTCAGGCCAGTCACTTCAAGGATAACATCCATCCATCGTGCCCTTGCCCTGAACCAATTGTACAGGAATTTTTAAAAAATGTGCTGAGGATATGCATTCTTTTGCTATAAAATGCAATTTTTCAAGCCCTGTACTGAAATGATTTGACACATTTGGATAGTTTTGATCTGTACATAATACTCTACTCTTAGCCAACAACGTGCTGCCACCTAGAACTCATTTTTCAGTTTTTGGGGATTTGGTACCTTTTGGAAATAAACTCAACATTTATCCCTGTGAGTCTTTGTCTGGAACACCTGTTGGAGGGGAGTTGTGCTATTAATGTGGTTGAAGAATGATTAAGTCCCTGCCAACATGTTGCTCCTCCATTTCAAGTATTGTTATCTCATTGTATTGTTCGTAATGACACACTAGAGTTCTGCTGTTCTGTTTCATATACAATATTTCTTTTCTGAAAGCAACATTATTATAGCCTGAGAATAATAATAATAATAATAATAATAATAATAATAATAACAACAACAATAAAATTTCTAGAGCGCCCTCTCTCCCCAGAAGGACTCATGTAGAAAATAAACCATAGAGTAGAGTAGAGGAGCAGACAGGAAATTATGCTGAGAATTTCAGGCAGTAGTGGAAGAGTGAAAATTGAATCTACAGTTTGGCAAAAGCTTGGAGTTCTTCAGTCTAGCATGATGAGCTGCTGAATGAATGCCAAGAAGCTTTAGTTGGGGCTGTCAGTATGTAGGTATGACTTCTGCAATGGTGCCCCCTACTGCCAACCCCTAAGTGGCTCTGCAGATTTCTTTTGAACCTCCAAATAAGGATTTTGGGGTGCTCAAGGGGATTCAATTCAGAGAGGACCCCCTGCATCCTCAAGTTCTACTGATTGAAGCAGCTCCATCAGCTGATTAATGCTCCCGATTTTCAATCAGGAACATGTTTTTTATGCTTGTTCTTTTGGCTAAGAAAGTGGGATGGGGAAGAACCCATAATATTTTGTTGGAATAGATATTTTTTAACAGGAGACATGCTTATGATGTATAATTGTAGATCTCTGATGGTGTGCATCTGTTCTTGGTAGCCTTCCCCAAATACAAACATGGCAGCCCAGAATGCAAAGTTTTCTTTTTCATGATCTCTATTGTGTCTTTCCTACAATTTCTGTCAGCTGTGCACAGCAATAAAATACTCTCTAGAAGCCAACCATTACCTGTTATGTTAAAAAAATTGAATTCTGCAATGATATTTTCACAGAAAATATTACACACTCAATTTTTATGTGACAGCTGATGAATAATTTGGCAAATCAACAAGATCCTCCTCTGGCATTAACCAACAACCAAACCTCATATGCAAAGTCGCACAGAAACCATAGCGAAGATGATAGGTCATGTAGTTGTCAGCGCATTTCAGTCACATATTCAGATGCTCTTCCTCTCTATAGGAGCCTCTGTTGAATTTATTTTGGTTGCAAAGAAACAAGCTTTCCTAATCTCGGAATGGAGCACAAAAGCCAGTGGCAAGGACTATGTGAGTGGGCATCCATATGTCTTGTCCACGCAAATAACCATTTGAGCAACAATTTAAGATAAGTAGTTGGGTTTATTGATGAAAGCTTCTGCTTTATTATGTGTGCAATAGGAAGGTCAAGGGGAAAAACATGATTGCAGCAGTTTGTGAAAACAACGGTAACTTTAAGCTTCCCGTCAAAAAATGTTATTATTCAGCTATGCTAGTGTTTTGATTGTCTTATTTTTGGCCATGTCCTTGATTGTGCTTGTCCTTGTTTTTATGCTTGTAAAATTGTATTCTGTCTAACTTTTGAAATTGGAACCCTTAAATATCTGGTAAAAGCAAAAGTTTTTAAGTATATTGTAAAAATAATTCTAAAGAATGTGTTTCTTCAGTACATGTTGGCCTTTTAAAGCTGTCGAAGAAGCCCAAAATAATGGTTTTCTTTCATATTTTCTATTTTTTATTACTTTATTTAATTTTTCTCCCAATATTGGAAGAATTACAGCTTCTAATATAAATCAAAACTATAGAATAATGCAAAAGCTACAATGCAATTAAATAAACAATCATATTAAAGATATTTATTTAAAACAATTAAAAAAGGCAGTCACAAGATAATAAGGATTTTTTTTTTCGTGTCAAGAGCGACATGAGAAACTGCAAGCCACTTCTGTTGTGAGAGAATTCACTGTCTGCAAGAACGTTGGCCAGGGGACGCCCAGATGTTTTGATATTTTACCATCCTTGTGGGAGACTTCTTTCAGAATTTTTTATTTATTTATCGTGTCAGGAGCAGACCAAACGGTTGCGTTTCATTTTTTAACAAACAAACAAACAAAACACAAAGTTTGCAAGCTTGGTAGTTGATTAAATGTCCTTTGACCAGTAGCTGGCCACTTGGAGTGCCTCTGGTGTTGCTGCAAGAAGGTCTTCCATTGTGCATGTAGCAGGGCTCAGGTTGCATTGCAGCAGGTGGTCAGTGGTTTGTTCTTCTCCACACTCACATGTCGTGGATTCCACTTTGTAGCCCCATTTTTGAGGTTGGCTCTGTATCTCGTGGTGCCAGAGCGCAGTCTGTTCAGTGCCTTCCAAGTCACCCAGTTTTGTGTGTGCCCAGGAGGGAGTCTCTCATTTGTTATCAGCCATTGATGGATGTTCTCGGTTTGAGCCTGCCACTTTTGGACTCTCGCTTGCTGAGATGTTTCAGCGAGTATCTCTGTAGATCTTGGAAAACTATTTCTTGATTTGGGTCGTTGACGTGTCTCTCAGGATGACAATACAGTATGCCCCAATTAAAAAGTCTTCTATGAAGACCTTTATTCTTGGATCTTTATGCCTGAAAGTCCAAACAAGCTCTGTTTTATTTTGAAACTGCAGTGATACGTAAGAAGGGGAAAGTTTCATATTTCTGATTTTCTAAATGTGTTTTTCCTTTTTTACAGGTATTTTTTGGTAGATTTTGAATCTCCGGCAACAGTTATTTCATCTGTGAAGGACCATTTAGGACGTGATATTGATGTAATAAGGTCTACTGTTTTAAAGCAGCATGTGACAAAACCAGAAGAATGTATGGGCATCATTGAAGAAAATATTGCCGATAAACTAATTTTGAAAAAGAAGAATAAATAGCAGAAAACTATACAGACATTGTAACCATTAATTTGATTCTAGTCATAAGAATCTAGTTTGTGCAAAATTACCTTTTTGCTATTTCCATCAATATTTTATTTGAATTTTGAAAATCTGCATGTGTCTCCCCATCTACTCAATGTTACATTCATTTTCGAAGTTTATTCTTTCCGCACAATTGAACAAATTGAGACTTACTTCCAAGTTAACGTGCAGGACTGATCAGAATCTTTAAAACTTTGTACACTTAACACAAATGTACTCTCTGGTATATCTACTGTATAATTGTATTTGAAATAAAAATTTATTTGAAATGAATGTATTAAAATTATAAAATGAACACAAGAGAGCTTGGTTTATAAAGGGACAAGAAATTTCAATATGAGTTTCATTTTCTAGCATTTTTTTCCCTGTTTTCAGTGCAAATAAACTTCACCCAACCATGCTAAGAAGATGATATGGCTATATTTAAAATACAATTTTTATTTCATTTCTTTCAATTCATAAAAGGTAAAGGTAAATGTTTGGGTGACTTTTGTGCTATCTATGTATTCCCTAGGGTACTGACGGCATGGATGTGTTTTCACAACATTGCTGCTCTTGCTTAAATCAATATAATATTCCTCCACTGGTTCTTGTTATAAAAGAATCAGTAGATACGATGTGAAGATAACTTTTCGTGCTCAAGTATTGTAGGGTCTTGTAAATTGTAAAATATGTATTTAACCAAGGATGGGAGCAGTCAATACTCATGAAGACCAGCTTTTCCTCTGTACCCTGCATAGTGGTCTGCACAACCAATTGGTTGAAAGTATAACTCCTACTGAGCAGAAATCATTATTGGTTTGCACTTCTGGTTTTCAGCCTAGATTTGGCATATTTGGAGTCAAGTTTTGGAGTCAGTGGATTCAGGGTTTAGAACATCTATATTCACTCCTGATGTAGAACACAATCTCTCAGAGAAAGATATCTTGTAGTACCTTTGAGACTAATAGGGAGAAAGAAGTTTGTAGGGTAAGCGTTCTGAGACTCATTAGATGCAAGTCATGGCAATGCCTTTGAATAAGCCTTCAGAGATAAGGCCATAATCCTCCAATCCCTGGCCAAATCCTTTCATGTACTATTCTCATTGAGACAAAAAAATTTGTGAAGTCTCGGCTTGGAGATGTTAGTCCTATAATATAAAGAAAGTTTAAATGGACATCAGGATGATAGCTTTCATGATGCTATGGAGCATACTCTGAGGAGCATCCACTTACCCCAAATTCGAGTACTATGCAAATGATATGGATCTGAATGCTTCTCTCTAAGGAAGGCCAATGGTAAGCACCAACAAAGTTGGTTCTAAGTTAGACAGGTTGCAATTACAAACACTGCAGTGGACTTTTCTGACTGTTGTACTGGAGATGGTGAATAGAAATAATAATAATAATAATTAATAATAATAATAATAATAATAATAATAATAATAATAATAATAATTTGATTTATTTATTTATTGTATCAGAAGCAAAGCAAGAGTATGGTTGTAATGTATTTTTTTAAAACCCCCACAAAGTTTAAAAACTTGGCATTATATTAAATGTCCTTTGACCAGTAGCTGGCCACATGTACTGCCTCTGGTGTTGCTATAAGAAGGCCCTCCATTGTGCATGTGGCAGGGCTCAGGTTGCATTGTAATAGGCGGTCTGTGTTTTGCTCTTTTCCACACTCTCATGTTGTGGACTCCACTTTGTGGCACAATTCCTTAAGGTTGGCTCTGCATCTCGTGGTGCTGGAGCGCAGTCTGTTTGGTGCCTTCCAAGTTGCCCAGTCTTCTGTGTGCCCAGGGGCAAAGTCTTTCATTTGATATAAGCCATGGTTTGAGGTTCCGGGTTTTATCCTGCCAGTTTTGGACTCTCTCTTGCTAAAGTGTTCCTGCAAGTATCTCTGTAGATCTTAGAAAACTATTTCTTGATTTAACGCATTTAAGGCTGATATCAGAACAGAGGATGGGCCGGAGATGTCAGTGCCTTAGTCCTTTCATTGCTGGCTGCTACTTCCCGGCGGATGTAAGGTAGTGCAATATCGGCTAAACAGTATAATTGTGTAGGGTGTAGACATCCTATGACAATGCGGCATATTTCATTAAGGGCCACATCCACTATTATAGCGTGGTGAGATGTGTTCCACACTGGGCATGCGTCCTCAGCAGCAGAATTGCAAAGCGCAAGGGCAGATGTCTTCACTGTGTCTGTGATAACAATAAATAATAATCTTTATTTTTAGACCACCCTATCTCCCCCAGGGGACTCAGGGCGGTTTACACACACAAAGGCAAATATTCAATGCAAATTGCAGTGTGCTGCAAGCAGATTGAGAGGAGAACAGGTTCCTATTGCTCACAATGGCTGATGGCCAGTATTGGGCAGGGGCAATGAGTGTGGGGGGAAAGATATGAACACCTTGTCTCAAACATTTTATTCACCATTTTAAAAGTAAATGGTATTCTCATTTGTTTTCTCCAATTTCCCAGCCAAATATGGTTTCCAAAAATGAGAGGAATTCTTCACCTGCAACCATGAATGTTTTGAGCTCCCCTCCCTCTGATTTCTTGCTCCTGGTCAATGAAAACGAGCATTTTTGTGTCCACATAAAAGAGTTTGTAATGCTGAATTCTAGGCGCTCAGGGAAGCAGAATATAAGTATGTTTAAGTATGTGGAACATTGTAAGTTCTTGGTGGACATGGGACAATGCCCAACAAGTTCAGAGTTTAAACACAAGACTCGAGGGCATGTCAGCATTCCCAACATAAATCAAAGCAAAAACTGTTTGATCATTTGACTTGTTAACTTTTAACTTTCAGGAACTATTTCAGATTACAAAAGCGGCTGGATAAGTGCAAAATAATATTTTAAATGTTCTATTCTGCCCAGTAGTAATGACGAGTACCACCAGCAAATTTCCTGGCCACATGAAAACGTTATAGCAGATGGGTGGGTGGAAGGGAATATACATCAAACCATGCGTTTTTGATCTTGGTTGAACCTGTCTTAGCCACTTTCAGCAGGCAGGCCCCTTGCCAAAAGACTACTGCTTAGACTCAGGATGGGAAAAGCTTCGTTCCCAAGACACTTCAGGCCAAAGGTTGGAGCAGATGGGCTCTTGTTTATTTGTAGGGAAGAAGCTGAAGGAACACAGTTGGATTTGAAAATCAGGAACTCAGTCCCAGAAGTTTTCATTGGAAGCCATAGGTCTCAATTCTGACAAGGATGTAGGTGCTTTAATTGGCCTTCTCACATACTGCATCTTTCAGACACCTCAGACTTTTGTGAATAAAACAAATGTGTGCTTGGATATAATGTTTTTGCAGAAACACTTATGAGAGATGTAAAACTGGGAATAGGTTATTGTCAAGTATACTGCTTGTTGTGTGCCTTTGGGTTGTTTCTGGCTTATGGCAACTCTAAGGCAGGATTTTCTAAGTCTGAGAGTGTTGTTAAATATGTACTGGGCTCTAAACGTGAGGCTGTACCACAAAACCCTTATAATTAGCCATTGCAAACATTTTTTTTGGCCTTGATCAAATAATGTCCAACAAAGGAAATCAGAGCAGTATCTTTGTTCATGTTGCATCAACCCCAGGGACAAACATTTCCAGTTAAATTGCAGTATTAAAACAATCAGTTGCACAAGAATGACATTCCTGATGAATAAATTTGATTGAAAATCATTTTAATTTTATTTGTTTTTGTATTTGATTCTCAAGTGCGGATGGTTCTTTGAGCAACTTAGGAAGAAGAAACAAAAATATGTTAGTTATGTATGTGAGCAGTGTCACTAGAAGAACTTAAATAATCACAAGAGGTGATGATATAATAAAATATAATACAACTATAAAACAATCTCAGTATAATGTAATAACTGAAGGCAAAGTTTAAAATGACAGAATAAAAAGTATTGGGAAAGGAACAACAAGCAGTAGCTCATCTCCCTCTCCAGTTCCACTGAAAATGCAGGCTTAGTATTTCTGAAAACCAAAATACTCCAAAATTGTCCATATGGATGGTTGGGATGGTGATATATTTGCTTTCTGATAGTTCGATATACACAAACTTTGTTTTATGCACAAAGCTATTGTGTATAGAATTACCTTCAGGCTATACATGTACTGTTTATATGAAACACAAATGCTTATTGTGTCTCATCTCCAAGATATCTCATGATATTGATGCAAGTATTCCAAAATCCAAATAAATATGGAGCACTTCTGATCCCAAGTATGTTGGATAAGGGATACTCAACCTGCATAGTAAATTTACTCAGGAAATCTCCTTAAATAATTCCAGAGTTAAATTTGGTTTGCTTTCCATTTTAAGTAACCGATATTCTGAAACTCAGCCTATGAGGGGTTAAATAATGATTGGTATCCTGTTAGTGACTTCTAGTAGTGTAAATTGAACTCCCACCATCATAACTCTTTTTTTTTAATGATTGCAGATACCACAATTTTCCACTGACCTTGCAAAAATGACCCAAATCTTCCTAGTATTCATTTTTAGCTGCTGCAACCCCCTTTCTACAGCCATTTCGCATCTGGCTAAGTCCCTATAGCAAGCCACTATTTATTTATTTATTGATTGATTGATTGATTGATTGATTGATTGATTGATTGATTGTATTTGTATACCACCTTTCTCAGCCCACAGGTGGCATAATGTGTACATTATCCAACAGGAACTTCGGACATCCTCCAAAGACCTCAGTGAATAATGCCATCATCTTGGACATGCGGGATGCCTGGTTTGAGAGCAGTACATGTGAAAAAGATCTTGGAGTCCTCGTGGACAACAAGTTAAACATGAGCCAACAATGCGATGTGGCGGCAAAAAAAGTCAATGGGATTTTGGCCTGCATCAATAGGAGCATAGTGTCTAGATCTAGGGAAGTAATGCTACCCCTCTATTCTGCTTTGGTTAGACCACACCTAGAATATTGTGTCCAATTCTGGGCACCACAATTCAAGAGAGATATTGACAAGCTGGAATGTGTCCACAGGAGGGCGACTAAAATGATAAAGGGTCTGGAGACCAAGCCCTATGAGGAGCGGCTTAAGGAGCTGGGCATGTTTATCCTGAAGAAGAGAAGGCTGAGAGGAGATATGATAGCCATGTATAAATATGTGAGAGGAAGCCACAGGGAGGAGGAAGCAAGCTTGTTTTCTGCTTCCTTGGAGACTAGGACGTGGAACAATGGCTTCAAACTACAAGAGAGGAGATTCCATCTGAACATAAGGAAGAACTTCCTGACTGTGAGAGCCGTTCAGCAGTGGAACTCTCTGCCCCGGAGTGTGGTGGAGGCTCCT